GATCAAAATCCAATACTCATGATCATGATATGGATCAAAATCTAATACTCATAATCATGATATGGATCAAATACTAATACTCATAATCATGATATGGATCAAAATCCAATACTTATAATCATGATATGGATCAAAATTTAATTCTCATAATCATGGTATGGATCAAAATCCAATACTCATAATCATGATATGGATCAAAATCTAATACTCATAATCATGATATGGATCAAAATCTAATACTCATAATCATGATATGGATCAAAATCCAATACTCATAATCATGATATGGATCAAAATCTAATTCTCATAATCATGATATGGAACAAAATCTTACCCTCATAATCATGATATGGATCAAAATCTAATACTCATAATCATGATGTGGATCAAAATCTAATTCTCATAATCATGGTATGGATCAAAATCTAATCCTCATAATCATGGTATGGATCATTCCACAGGTATATTCAACAGCACATGTGTTATATTGAATCATATTTTTTCATCTAGGTTCCTAGTTAAATCTAAGTAGATACACATAGATTGTAAATAAAATGGCGTATATGTCTGCACCACCCCCTGGATCTGTCGGAGGCCCCGCTACTAAAGTGGAACTTAGAATTTCCTGCAAGAATTTGCTTAATAAAGATCTGACATCTAAATCTGACCCATTGGTTGTCTTATTTGCAGCATGGAAGTCAATGGCAAGAGGTAATATGTTCTATCGAACAGGAGTTTTAACGCATTGGTGCAATGTTTTGTAAATTATATGCATTTTTCTATGATTGTTTTTTTAATATTTGGACCAAATGCACATACTCTTTTAAGGATTACTCATTTTTGCTTCTTCTTATATATGGCCTCAGGAAAATATTGTTTTTGGTGTGACTCCCAATACTATTACTCAGTTAATATGCCAATTCACTTGTATATGCATTTAAATATATCTGTGTCATTTATAAATTATTGCACTATAAATAATTCATTGCATTATTTACTCCTAGGGTGACTATATATATAAACATATAAAGGTGAAATGGCAATGTATAATTATGCATATTAATTTATCAGAATTTTCTAATAATTTATTTTAGCCATATACAATACAGTCTGAATGTAGCTTAACCCCATACCTAGCTTTGTCTCGTCATAAAAACATATAACTTTAAATTGAGTGTTATTGTCATCAGTAATTTCAACTTATTCTTTATAGTATTTGTACTATAGGACTTTTAGACAGAACACTATCAAGCTATGCAAGCTTTAAGCCAAATGAACTCTGAAAGTACACATCATATAGTCATGGCAATGCACGTTTTAATTCTATATAAACAACCAATGTACATGATTTATAGCTAACCCCCCCCCCCATGTGTTAACCATATTGTGGTTATATTTGTTATCTCAGATTGACAGAACTGACCGAGTTAAGAACAGTCTGAATCCTCAGTTCTCGAAAGCCTTGGTAATAGATTATTTCTTTGAGGAGGTGCAGAAACTAAAGTTCGGTGTGTATGACATTGACAATGAAACTAGAAGAGTTGATGATGATGACTTCCTGGGACAGCATGAATGTACACTTGGACAGGTGAGAATTTGAGTGTTACCGGATATAGCACATGTTCTGCCTAAACTTGAGGTCAAACATCATGTCTAATTTGCATAACAATGCATCTAAATTGCATAATTAACATTTTGGTACAATGTCAGTATATCTGTGTTAATGCTATTGTGAATAAAATAAATGAGTCATCTATCTGCCGTTAAGTAAAGATGAAATAATCTATTTTACATCATTTGGTTTATTGCATATTTATTAATCATACCTGGATAATGTTCTTGTAAGTATAAAAAGTTTGAAATAAAACAGCAAAACAAATTAAAAAACCTAAAATGCTATGTAAATATTATGAATTTATATACATGCAATGGTCAATAAAATATGTTTATCCATGGAAGTTGTTCATCATTATGTACAGTCAGTTTAATACCCAAGTCAGTTCAAATATTGTTGGGTTACAATTGAGATTGTGAGTTATCAAAGGATGATGAAATTAAAAATCTATAATGATACATTTTTTTTATACATAGTCAGTGATTTTTTATTCTATAAACTATGTGGCATAACACTGTGATCTCTTCAACACTGCCAGCTGATTGTGTCAAAATATGCAAATGTAGAATCCTCAAGGTTGATCAAAACTAAAAATCAAAGATTATCCTGGAAATTACATCAAAATTGACACCAATACATTTCATGGTTTTTCAAATGACAAGCAATAATACTACTCACTGAATGTTTTTTTATAGTAAGGCATTAATGCAACATAAGATGCGAATATTCCAAAAATTTGAGAGTAATAGTGAATATTGAAGGACAGTTTGAATGGATAGTTGGATTATGGTTAAACGGATAGATCTGTGATAATACAGGAAAAGTGTATCCATATATATATATATATCTCAAGAAAGAATTCATGCATTGAAATGTTAGACTTTTATTGTAATATTTTTGCAGATTGTTGCAAGTGGTACGTACACAAAGCCACTGGAGTTGAAACTAGGAAAACCAGCTGGACATGGCACCATAACAGTAAGTTAATTTGACACAACATAGTTCACAATCACACTTGGCTACCATGGCTTGATCACAGTCACACTTGGCTACTATACCATGATCACAATCACACTTGGCTACCATGCCATGATCACAATCACACTTGGCTACCATGCCATGATCACAATCACACTTGGCTACCATGCCATGATCACAATCACACTTGGCTACCACACCATGATCACAATCACACTTGGCTACCATATCATGATCACAGTCACACTGGGCTACCATGCCATGATCACAGTCACA